TCATGTCATCAAATCTGAAGTATTATCATTATTCTGTCTTTAATTAAGACCAAGAAATAAATAATGCTGATGGGAGCCTTTGAAGTTCTAGGATGCAAGCTGTGCAGTGTGGAGTGATGAGGGGTCAGGGTCAGGGTTAGAGTGGACCAAATGGGAACAGATTCGAGACATAGGAAGTCCTTCCTGCCTGACTCAGGGTGGAATGTGGGGAGCTGGGATGCTCAGAATAGGGGAGTCCCTTGGGAAACCTTTGAGAAGAGATGGAGCCAGATAGTGAGAAAGGTTGGGGGTTGTAGAGTCCTTAGAGATCTTCAGTCAAAGGCAGCTGTTAGGTTGAGTGTGCTAGGTCTCAGAGAGAGGGACACTATGAGACACCATGACCGCTGACCCTCAAGTATAGTGACAGAACTGGGACCAGCCCCATTCTCAGAGTATGGGGAAATTAAGGCAGTGGGGGTGGGGCCTGGAAGAGACTCTTACAGCTCATAGAAGGTGTTGACCCCATGGCTTTGTGTCCCTACAGGAAGAGGGAAGAATGTGGGGGACAAGATGCTGCAGTACTGGGGAGGCTTCTGTGGAGAGAAAAGTGGGTCATGCTGGAGGTAGGCTCAGCCCCTCTGGCCTGAGCTAAGTCACTGGGCTTCCTTCTGTTCTTGTTTTCTGCCCCCCCTCCCCGTGGCTTTTCAGTTCTGCTCCTCTCCTTAAAGGGACTTAACACAACACACTGTTCTGGCCTCCTCACCTTCCCACTCCCGGCCCACACTCAGTCACTGACTTCTGCTTTCCTTTCTTTTTCTTTTTAAATTTCGATTGATTGATTGATTGATTGATTGATTGATTGATTTGGGTTGCAATGTTGGGAATTGAATCTGGAGTCTCATGAATGTTAGGCAAGCATTCTACCACTGAACTGTATCCCCAACTCTATTTGTGGTGTGTACATCTGTGTGTGTGTGTGAGTGTGTGTGTTTGTATGTGTGTGTGTGTGTATGCATGTGCATGCACACGGAAGGCAACCTCAGGTATTGTTTATCCATCTTCTTATCTTTTTGGACATATAATCTCTTACCGGCCTGGAACTTCCCGAGTAGGATAAACTGACTAGCCAGCAAACCAGCAAACCCCACTGGTCCTCCTGTCTCCTTGTACCCCAGCTCTGGGATCACACAAACATCTATGTCTGACATTTTTTCACATCGATTCTGGGGACTGAAGTCGGGTCCTCATGCTTGCAAGAGAAACCTTTACCAGCTGAGCCATCTCCCTAGACTCCAGCCCTGGTTTGATTAATGCATAATCATTATGTATACCTGGGGAGTGCAAGGCAATGTGTCAATACAGACTCGTTTTATGTAAGATCAAATCAGGGTAATTAGCCTATCTGTCACCTCAAAACCCCATCAGCTCTTCATTTATTTTTCTAAATAGAGGGAGTTTGGAATGCAAGAAAAGGCCAGTTCCTTGATCTCAATTTCTCAGTTTCTGAAACTAAATCCAGGTGACTTCTGAACTCCAGTAGGCAATTCTTGTATGACTGGACCTAAGCATCCCATTGGTGGAATGTGTTTCTGGGCAGGTCCAGTCTCGTATGTGGTGACCCTGAGGCCATGTTGGTCTCCCCCTACTGAGAACCCAGGTTCCCCATCCCTTTATGTCCATGACCTTGTTCACCCCTCACAGAACACCTGCGGAAGACTCAGTGATTATGTCAGTATCTCAGAGAAGGCCCCTGAGTTCCTAGCTAGGAGATATCCTTGAGGTCACCATCAGCCAGAAAAAGCAAAGTCAGGGGTCAAAGTTCAGGATGCCTGACTTCCAGACCTCTGCTCCTGGCACTGCCAGCAAGTGGCTGGAACTGAGAAAGCAGATGGGCAGAGGTATAAGCAATCGCTGCACCTATCTCCTCGGAAAGAAAGTGTCACGTGAGATAATGTCACAAAGTTACTGACCAGCCAGAGCAGTGGTGGCTGTGAGCAGCTGGTATAAACCTGTGCCAGCTTGGTCGTCTTAGCTCATATTCCTGATTTGGCAAGGCCTGGTAGGAGTGGGAGAGCAGAGGAGGCTGAGGAGACTGCAGATACAAGGGATGAAGGCAAGAAGAGAGGGCCACAAGTCCTCTGGGCATCAGTCTGACCCTCCTAGAGTTCCACCATGCTACTAACCTGGCCTCATTGCCTTCGCATCTGAAAGCTTCCTTATGTCTCTCCACTCAACCCGAGAGGTCTTGCTCAGCGGCTCCTCTGGATTCATCACCATTACCTCTCTGCCCTCAGATGGGAGCCTGACAAAGCCTGCACTCAGACGCTAGGACCTTGTCTCATCCACTCTGGTGCTTAACATTGGCCGTGGTCAGCTTGGCAGAATCTAGAACTACCAGAGGCAACTCTCTGGGCTTGTCTGTGAGGGAGTCTCTTGATTAGGCTGATTGAGGTGCAATCTGTTCCACAGGCTGCAGTCCCAGACTGAATAAAAAGAAGAGAACAAGCTAGGTGCTAGCTCCCTCTTGCACCACTGACTACAGATGTGATGCAGCCAGCTGCCAAGTACTCCTGTATCCACGACCTTCCCATCATGAGGGCCTATACCTGCAAAATTCCCTAAGTTGCTTCTGCCAGGGATTTTGTTCCAACAAAGACAGAGTAACAAGCCCCACTCATCTTGGTCACCAGCTGTCAAGACCCCTAGAAAACCCCTGAGATCCCTCCTGGAGCTTCTGAAGTCTCTGCCACTGTGGCCCAGGATAACGACTCCTCCATCCCAGCCCTACAACTCTGCTTTTACTCCTTGAAAAGGTTCCCAGTTGCTTGTCAACAGCTAGTGCTGAGCAGTTTCAATTGGCATTTCCTGGCTGCTTAGTAAAAGGCCCTGTCTCCTGATTTTCCGAGAACAGAGGAAATGGCTAAGTTGGCAGACCTATGGACTGAGCACCTGCTGAGTACAAGGCTTTGTTACCTATAGAAAAGAAGGTCACCAGAGAGGTGGGGATGCAGCCTCTGCCTTCAAGGTGCCTCGGATATGCATGAGGGACAGTGGTTAATCAAGAAAAGAAAGCTATCACGTGGCTCTTTTAAACTGCTTTATTTAAGGCTGGTCTGTACCTATTAAAACATCTACCACACGATTTATAAAGAAAGATAAAAATGGGATCATTTTTTTAAAAGTTCTAGAATGGCAATTAAAATGGGTTGTAATTTAAATGAAAGCTGGTACAGTTTCACAACTAATAGCTAAATTGTTAGGAGTCCTAGAGTAAAGGGCTATTCTCTAGAAAGTTTCAGGGCACACTGTGCCATGTTTGCCTTTTTTATTTCTCTGTAAGATTCTAGAGCTTGGTTAAAAGGAATGCTTGAGAGTTACTACAGCAAGTTCACAGGGCTACAGTGAAAGCCTGTCACATTGCTGTACAGGGAAGGGGTTGGCAATAAAGAGTCACATGGGTGTAGAGTTCGCTCGCTGATGGACCACACCTCAGGTGTAGGCGAGGAGTGTGCAGGCGTCTGGAGATGTAGGCGTCTGGAGATGTGGCTGTTATCTTATTGGGATTGAAGTGGTTGGCCCCGTCAGGATGTTCAGCAATGATGTAGTGACAGCTGTGGGTATGTCTTCATGTGGTAATAATCCAGATCAAGTACCAAGACTCAAAAATAACTCAACAACCCCACCACATGAAGTAAAGATTGGCATGATGCTTACCAGGTAAAGGTGATTGCCACCAAACTTGGCAATTGGAGTGGCATTCTTGGAATGCACATGGCGGGAGGAGAGTTTCTCTGAGTTCTGCACGTGCATCATGGTATGCCAATGTTTGTGAGTGAGCATGCGCATACAACACACACACATACAGACAAATGAACCCTACATCTATATTTAGAAAATGGATGGTGGGGAGATGTCCTGAGAAAGACTGAATATGTGAATATCTTGTTAGTCTCTTTGTTAAATCCACTCAGGTCATCTCAGGTGTGTTAGGAACCAGAGGTGGAGGATGGCTCTGCCCTGAAGAGGTCTGTGTGCCAGTGGCTTAGCTTAAGCAGTCCAGGGCAGCCATGACAACCATGGTGGGAGTCAGTGCTCCTCCTCCAGCTGGCACCTCTCTGAGTGAGGTTTCCTCAATGGTAAGCTAATGAATTAACCCTTTCTGTTCCAATCCATCAGTCAGTCCCAGTTCCTGGTCAGGGTCGTGTCCTCTGTTCTTGGTGGGTATGAGAAGCACATCTGACACCATCCCAAAGGGCAGCCTCATCTGACCTGGGCTTTAATCTCCCACCTCTCCTCATGCTGAGGGCACTGGGCTCCTTTAAGGCAGATGGGTGTGCCATTGCCTTGTGGATATGCTGTGCTACTTGAATCTGAGAACAAGAGAATGGGTGAGAGCTACAAAGGCTCTTTCCGTCCTCGCTCCTCTGGAGGCTTACGCCTCAGGTGCTGTGCCTTCTAATCAGCTCGGAGTTCTTCCAACAGTTGACTTCTACCCTTCCCTCCCATCGCCTTTAAAGCCTTCTCTCCCCAACCCCGAAATGGATCAGATCAATGAACTTTGGTCTATGTCGATCCTCCAGGGGCAGGGAACTCATCACAGGTATGGGAAACATCAGATAAACAACTCTGACCACCTGAAGGTCCCATATTGTGACTGCTATCTTCTTCACATCTTCAGGGACAAAGAAAGGGAATGGGGAAATGTCCATGTCACAAACACCTGGGAGTCTGCTGAGGTCAGATGAGTAACTCCGGTGAAAGAAGCTGGAAGAAGCAGAGTCTGAGAGGGGGAATGGGCCTTTGATAGTGAGCTGATGGCCGCCAGCAGTCTCCATGACAAGAGTGGGCCTTTGATAGTGAGCTGATGACCCCCAACTGTCTCCATTAACAGAGTGGGCCTTTGATAGTGAGCTGATGACCCCCAACAGTCTCCATGACAGGAGTTCTGAAGGCAGAGTGGCCTCTGTCCCTACCTGTCTGGCTGTCTCATGACCACCTGCTCTCTCTGTCCTGTTACCTAGATTGTGCCAATGAGGACCTAAGGTGCCTGCCTGCTGACCATCCCAGCCTGCAGTGACCATGGCACTGAGCAAGAGGAGTCATCATGGCCTGGGCTTTCTTTGCTGCTTTGGAGGCAATGACCTCCCTGAGATCGACCTCCGGGACAACCACCCATTACAGTATCTGGAGTTCTCTGGTCCCATCCCGAACCCGGAGGAGCTCAACATCCGCTTTGCGGAGCTGGTGGTCAGTGAGGGAGGGGTGGAGAGGGCGCTGATGCTGGGGAGTGGTGAATAGACAGCATAGAAGGGAGAGGACAGGAGTCTGAGTGCTGAGTTCTCCACTCCACAAAGCTCTTCCCAAGGATGAGGCAGTGCTTCCCAGGGCACCTTCGCTGTAGAGGAAACAGACCCTCGCTGAGGCACACAGCACGAACTGGCCTGCAGGACAAGGGATCTGCCTCAGTTCCCTTTGACTCTGGGTCCTCTGCTGCTGGACCAGCCTGGCTGCTATTAAAGGGGTCAGATCATGAAAAGAGACTTTGGGAACTTTTGATAGCTTTCTCTCAGTTGCTTTCTGGAATTTCTGTCAGGGTCTTTAATTTCATAAGCAAGCAGAAAGGGGTTCTACAGGGGACTCTGAGAGCCTTGGACCAGGAGGATGAATAACTGGGAATATGGAGGCAGAGGTATTTGGCTCCTGGGCCTGACTGAGATCTAAGAAGACTGTCTCCTGGTCTGTGAGGAGAACAGGTTGACGCAAGAGTTTCTCCTTGTCACTAAACCTGTAGACCTGTTTAATTGCAAAGACAGGGGAGCTGATTTGCATTGTTTTAAGCATGTGGTATGTGCTGTCCAATGGCTAAGCTGCTGGCCACCTGAGCTGAGCCGAGCTGAGCTGCTGACCACCCCCAGCAGGACAGAAAGAGTGAAAGAATGAGCCAGATGTAGTGGTGCACTTGGGGAGTCAGGACGGCAGGAAGATCAGGAGTTCAAGGTCATCCTTGGCTACATAGTGAATTCCAGACCAGTCTGTGCTATACGAGAACCTATCTCAAAAAGAAGAAGAAAAAAATTGAAAAAGAAAAGGGAAAATGTAAACTATATTACTGACTTTTCTTACATTTATTACATGTTGGGATGGTCATATTTTAAGTATATTAATTGAAATAAAATGTAGCATTAAAATTAACTTCATTAATTTTTCCTCTTTAAATTTTTTGTGTGACTAGAACAGTTTTAAATATGCCCCTTCCATTACATTTCTACTTAACAGTTCTGACCTAGGGAAGGAGAAGTCTTAAATATTCTCTCTAAAGCCCTAGGGCTGGAGACGGCTCAGTGGTTGAGAGAGTTTGCTGCTCTTGCAGAGGACCCAGGTTGTTCCCAGCACCACACTGAGTGGTTCCAGCTGCCTGTTATTTCTGCTCCAGAGGATCTGATGCCCACTTCTGGCTTTCATGTGTACCTATACTCCTCTCTCTCTCTCTCTCTCTCTCTCTCTCTCTCTCTCTCACACACACACACACACACACACACACACACACACACACACACTCATGAGCGCATATGCACACACGCACATAAACTAAACAAACAAAACAGTTCAGCAAGTCAAACTTGTAAAATTATCCAAATTACCAAGAGAATGACCCCAAAATATGACCAACTCAGAGGCTTGCTCCTCAGGAGGTATAGCCCAGTCCCGTGGAGCCCTGAGCCTTACACCACCTCACTTGGTGTCCTGCAGGTGGATGGGTTGGAGATCAGTGTCAATGCCTCCTTTGGGATGGTGTCCCATTCCCACCGCTCACTCTGCCCCTCGCCCATCTGGTTCAGTCTCTCCAGTCCACGCTGAGCTTGAAGGACGCAGGAAAATTCAGAGGAGAAACTCAATAGGCAGGCAGAAAGGTGGGAAGATGTGAGAAAGAGGCGAGGCCATATAATGGCATGGCCGTTAACCTAAGGTGTTGGCAGACCTTGTAAAGACAAGCAATCCTGCCCCGGGTGCATCAGACAAGGGGACAGTGAAGCAAAGGCGGGAAAGGCAGGAACAAGCTGACCTGAAGCAGGAGGGGGATGCATGAGGACAAGGAGGTGTGGGCAGGAAGAAAGGGGGCACTGGGCAGAGGTTGGACTTGGCTGAGGCAAGGGCTCGGGGCTCTGCTTCTAGTAGAACAAGAGTTGCCTTATGGTGTGGTAATGCTCTCTGGGAAGAGGATCATAGGCTGCAGGGTGTTCTGAGCTCCTGTACAGCTTCATACACAGGCATGATTCTTCTTGTCTTCGTAGGATGAATTGGACCTCACAGACAAAAACCGAGAGGCTGTGTTTGCACTACCACCCGAGAAGAAATGGCAGATCTACTGCAGCAAGAGGAAGGTAGTCACTTCCTCAGACCCTTCCCCCTCAGACCCTCCTGCTCTACCTCAGGGGTCACCCCCTCAGACTTTCTCCCTCAGACCCTCCTGCTCCACCTCAGGGGTCACCCCCTCAGACTTTCTCCCTCAGACCCTCCTGCTCCACCTCAGGGGTCACCCCCTCAGACCTTCTCCCTCAGACCCTCCTGCTCCACCTCAGGGGTCACCTCCTCAGACCCTTCTCCCTCAGACGCTCCTGCCCTGCCTCAGGGGTCCCAGCAGGGACATATCTGATACTTCATTCTTCATTCATTCACCTTCCCCCGTTCCCTTTTTCCTCCTTCCCTCCCTCCCTTCCTCCCTCCCTCATTTCCTTCCTTCCTTTCTTCCTTTCATTCATTCATTCATTCATTCATTCATTCAAGAGACAGTCTTATATACACACTAAGAATGTGAGGGCAAACCCTAAAGAATAGCCAAGTGTGCTACTCCAACTTGAGGACCTGAGTTCAAATCCCAGCACCCACATAAAAAGCCAGAATGTTGATGCATGGTTGTAATCCCACTCTTGGGGAAGTGTTGGTGGGAGAGTCCTTGGGGCTTTTCAGGATAATAAATTTGGCTGACTTGGTGAGGTCCAGGTCGCAATGAGAGAGATTTTATTTCAAAAAACAGGATGAATGGCTCCTGAGGAATGGCATGTGAGGTTGTCCTCTGGTTTCCACATGTGCATGCACACATACAGATGTACACTCATATTAGCACCCACACACGTACACTTTCATACATACCCACACAAATGGAAATCCCCCACCCCACACACACCTACATACATACCCACACAAATGGAACTCACCCCCCCACACACACCTGCATACATACCCACACAAATGGAACTCACCCTGCACACACACACCTGCATACATACCCACACAAATGGAACTCACCCCGCAC